TTCATTAATATGAAAATCAAGAACAATTATTTGGTTGACAATTAAATGGAAAGTGTACGATATATATATATATAGATTTAGAGGGAAATATGGGAATTTATTTTGAATTTTGAAATTGGGTATTTAGAAATCACAAGTATGAGATAGGCAAAGGAGCTATTATATCTATATAGTATATAATGGATATATATATAGATATATATATATATATATATATATCTTACTAAAACTATTAAAGATTTTAAATGGAGTACTAAAATTATTACTATCAATATTCAGATACTCACGGATAATTCATCTACGATTTAAATTGTATAATAAATAATTAATTTAATTAGTCAAAATTATCCATTTTACTAAATTAATCACACAACGAACATATTCGAAATGCAAAATTTGATCATTAATTATTTATTATAGTTTATAAAATGGAGAATTACACTTTTGATCCATAATGTTCAATTTTAAACACTCCATTCCACGCAATTACATACACGTTAACAAGCAACAAAAAACACTATCTTAAGGCCAGAAAAAAAAAATTTATATTTTTCTGGGCTGGAAAATAATAAAAAATATAAAAAATACTACTTATATTATTAAAATATACTAGTTTGCTAGCTATTGTCGATCACCCCTAGTGCACACACATGAATTAATTGAAATGTTAAAATTCATTTTACGCAGAATCAACACTTGGTGATGCATTACCAGCTTGTCAACATTACATACATGATTGGACCTCTACCATTTTTCAGCTTTGTAATTCTATCTTTATTTTCATTCCAAACAAAAAAAAAAAATAAGAATTCTATCTTTATCAAACATATATACATTTTGGTATACATTATTGATCATGATGATTATGTCCTATTTACAAAATAACGTTGCATCTATGTTGTCCACAAACTTTGCTCTTATTTTTACCATCCCCATCCCCGAATACATATGAATAGAGTCGTAATTGAAAGGCGTCAATCGACCGAGTGACATTCGACAACTATATATGACCGGTTTCAATTGTTCCAATCATTTTACCTTGACGATTGGAGGCTCGGTAACTAACTAACTAAGTGATTGAATCATCTATCTCATAATAATATCATCTTCAACGTTTGATGTTAAAATCACTTCCGGTGAGGACATATTTATCTTCATATCCATAAAAAAAAATATATAATATTATTGTGTAAAAGAGTAATATTGATAACAATATTACTGAGTTGATTAGTCAAAAAAAGAATTTAAAAATATTGCGATGGTTGACAATAATATTGCTTAATAGATTAACAATATTACTGTCATCCACAATATATTATTATGTTGATCGACATTGATCGCCGGTCAGCGTTGGAAAAAAAAAAGTCAAAACTGGATTTTGGGGGTCAAAATTGGATTTTGGGGTTCAAAATTGGAATTAAATTATAGTTTATAATTAGAAATTGAGTTAAAAGGGTTGAGGATAATTTTGTCATAAATATTAGACTTGTCTTTGTTTGTAATACACATTAAAGGGATGGACTTTATTCAAAAAAAAAAAAAAGGGGATGGACCTATTGACAAACAAGACTAAACATCTGAAACTAGATTAATAAAGGCCGGTGGTCAGGATATTCGCATACAAACCTCATGATTTATTACCTTTTGAGGGTGCAAAGTGATTTTAATTTTTTTCAAAAGTGCAAAATGTCAAAATGTTATATTTAGTGGGTGCAAAGTGAAATTAAATGAGATTTATGATAATATTATATTAGATGGGATTTATGCTAATATCAATAGGTGACTAGCTTAATTAGGGCATGACATGAGTCGGTTTTAGGTCAATCAATCCACTTTTGAGCCGCTTTTTTCGGTCGATAATTTTGTTGTTGGGCCGGTAATTTTAACTGACACATATATAAATGGATCGGTTGGTGGTTTTCAGTTACTCAAGAGTCGGTTGGTTGGGTAACATCAGGTGATCCATATATAAAACAAATGAATAAATATATAGGCCATAATACCTCCAACTGACCTATTGTTTATCCAACCACTATAGTTGGACCGATAATGATTTTTAATATTCAGCAAAATCGGGTGTTTAGTCTGATAGGTAATTAACCGATAATTACTCGAACCGACCCACGCCAGCCCTAGCGAGCTAATATTATTATTTTCATAAAAAAAAAACTAATATTATATTTAGTAATTGACCAGACGTGCCAAATGCGGCTAATAACTCGATAGAGTAGAGATGAAAGAACAATGAGAATCAACACATAATTCAAATTTGCCGCCAAGAACAAATATTCATTCCCTCCAAAACCCATTATACACTCTCTTATTAAACTCCAGCCCTTTTAATTAATTTGTCACAAAATGATAATTTAAAAAAAAAAAGAAAAAACAATCTGAAAGCAAACACAACTATATGAAAATTAAATCACCATGCACGCTTATAAAATCACTCCTTCCCATTCGTGGCCGCCGCCGCGGCCTTAGAAACATCTTCCTCCGCCACCTCAGCAGGTTCCGGCACCGCCGCCGCCGCCGCCGCATCACCACCACCACCGTCGTTCTTATACTTGTACCACACCGCCCAAAACAAATAATGGAAAAAATTAAGCACACTCAAAACCGCCAGAAACCAGTAGAACAAATTCAACTTAGTGGTGTCCAAATTCTGCTGCACCGCCTCCAGCCACCCTCTCCCCCCGCCACCGCCGCCCCTAGTCGCCGAGTTTATAATATCCACCAAAGCACTACTCAAGAAATACCCAAACGAGAGCGAAATCCACGTAAACGAAGTCGACAGCGACTTCATGCCAGCCGGCGCCTCCTTGTAGAAAAACTCAAGCAACCCCACGAGCGTAAACATATCCGCAATCCCGAAAATCCCGTACTGAAACGAAAGCCAAAACAAACTAATCGGCTGAAAGGGATTCTTCAGAGATTGTTTCCTTCTCTTCACCTCCACAACCGCGGCGATCGACATCGACAGAGCCGAGAGAACGAGGCCCACCCCCACGCGCTGGAGCTGCGTTATCCCCGATGGGTTTTTCGTAAATTTACGTGCGAAGGGTACGAAGAGTTTGTCGTACACAGGAATCAAGACGACCATGAAGAGGAGAGGGATGACGGGGATCGAAGGGGCGGGAACTTTGAACGAGCCGAGTTTAGGGTTCATTTGGTAGCCTTGTTGGACCGAGAATGTTTGGAGTTGAGCCATGCACGTATTCATTATTATCGTGCTGCCGATTATCGGGAGCATTCGGATTAGGACTTTCGTTTCTTCGACTTGTGTTACGGTGCACACTTTCCATCGGGCGGGCTCCGTGTTTTCGGGGAGGATCGCCGCTTTGTCTAGCCACCTAGTATATATAGTTTAAGTTATATTCAAGAATTTGAAGAGAATATAATAATACCAAAATATCCTAAGTTATATTAATTCAAGGAACACTAGTAGAAAAATGACCTTTTACTACGATCATTCACCATAGCAAAAGGCATTAAATTCGTAGTTAAAAGGTTTTTGCTACAAATTTGCCCCGTAGCATATACGGGTGTGACAAAAACTTTGCTATGGTAAATGACCGTACTACATACTTTTTTGCTATGGTAAATCCTAATATTTACTGCGACTTCAAAACTATTTCGTAGTAAAAATTACCTTTTATTACGATTTTTTACCGTAGCAAAAAATTTCGTAGTAAAAAGCAAAATTTCTACTAGTGGAATAATAGGAACAAAACACATACCTAAATTGTTTAGTATGAGCAACATTTGCTGCAATCGATTCTGAATCTTTCTCTTTAACCTCGTATAGCTCACTCGGACTCTCCACGTGCGATAAACGACGATTTTTCATCGCAACAACTATAACCTAATTATCATAGCAACAAGAGAAAAAAAATTGATTAAGTTGAATATATATATCTAGGGTTTGCATGCATGCCTGCACGTAGATATATAATGATATATATACAGTAGAATCTCGATAAATTAGTACTCGGTAAATTAATAATCTCGCTTAAATAATAATTTATCCCTAAGTTATTAACTCGATAATTTAAAATTTAGCTCGATTAATAGAATTTTCCTAGTCCCCACTGTATTAACTTATGTAGGTTTAACTGTACATACCTCTGCGATTCTGACGAGAGGGCTCCCTCTGGGAATCTCGAGGCGGTAAAAGGGCTTTCCGATTGCAAGAAACACGTAGCCGACGAATGCTCCTAAAGTAGAGATGAGAAAGCCCTTCCACCAGTTTTGGTTGTTCTTATTGGTGGCAACGTAAACGATGAAGGTAACTCCGATGGCGGCACCGCTAACTGTGCTGAGCAAGAGCCAGTTGAAGTAGCTGGCCAGCCCCTTTTCTTGTTTGGGATCCCTTCTGTCGAATTGGTCGGCGCCTAGTGCCGGAAGAGCACCCTTTACGCCGCCAGCACCGAATGCCAATAGAGAGAGCGATGCGTAGAAATATACGCCCATGCCGCCGTCCATGCAGCTACCCTTGTTGCATGGGGGAAGTTGTGGTAGCAAACTCTTTGTGTGAGCTTGATACGTCATCATTGCTAGAGCCTAATATATATATATATATATATATATATATATATATATATATATATATATAGACACACACACACAAGGTAAACAAACAAGTTAAACTTTTGAGATAGTAGACACTAGTTGTGGTGTCTATGATTATGACTAAAAATCGGAATGGAATTTCTGAATCCTGAAGATTATCGGTTAAAAGTTTCTGACGTTTTTGGGGAAGTTTTTTTCTCGTTTTGATATTTTTTTTTTAGTTGTGATGATATTGAATTATACATATTTTATTTGAAATTTGAAATTTTAAATTTGAAGTTTCAGTACGTTATCAATATCAAAAGATAGTCTATAATTGTCTTGTATTATATAATTATGTATTTTATATAACAATATAAACTTTGAGTTCTACTTAATTTGATATATTAAAAGAAAAAATTGGCTGTTTTTTGGTTTTTGAAAAGAGTAGTGCTATTTCCATTTTCAAAAGATCTCAATTCACCACCAAAATTTATATAATGTCATAAATACCCTTCAAATTTATAATTCACTGTCTTTCCTTCTATTCACTTAATCTCCTGTATGTTTATTTCTACTTTATTTTATTTTTTTTCATTTTTTAATTTTTATTTTTTTGTAAATAAATATATATTTTTTTTCAACGAAATATTTATTACAAGATATTTAAACTTTCATATCATATGACCTTCAGTTTATGTAAATTTGTTTTTAGGAAACGAAATTATATTAAGCCAAACTGGACAATTCTGGAAGAAGTTCAGGACCTTTCGTACAAGCAATCTTAATTTATTTCTCAAAAAAACGTGAATTCCTACTCGTTTTGACCTTCGAAAATATTTTTCTCTGACGAAAGTATTATTCACTTAAGGTGGAGAGGGTGAGACTTCCAGTGAAAATGGTGGGTTTTTTTTTTTTATAAATATTTTAATTAGTTTAGTGGTGCTGGTTTATAAATTTGTAAAAAATATATGTGAAAAAAGAAAAAAGTTTTAAAATAGGAAATATATTTAATTTTGTGGTGAAATAAGATATTTTGAGGGTGGAAATAGCACGTCTTTTTTTTTTTTTTTACGAAACGAAATTATATTAAGCCAAACTGGCGAATTATATTCGGAATGAAGTTCAGGACCTTCCATACAAGCAATCTTAATTTATTTCTCCAAAAACAAGAATTCGTGCTCTTTTTGACCTTCGATAATGTTTTTCTCTAACGAAAGTATTATTCACTTAAGGTGGAGAGGGTGAGATTTCCACTGAAAAAAGTGGGATTTTTTTTTTGAAATATTTTAATTAGTTTAGTGGTAGATGGTTTATAAATTTGTAAAAAGTATAAGTGAAAGAAGAAGAAATGGGTAAAATTAGAAATATATTTAATTTGGTGGTGAAATAAGATATTTTGAGGGTAGAAATAGCACGTCTCTTTGAAAATCGACACTGAAAATTGAATTCGTTTGTATTTCCGAGAAAAAAAAATTATATCTCTCGAAGTACTAATTTCCGATATGATATGTACGATATAGTATCGGCAAACAAAAGGTTATTATAATACATTCATCGAATTTCACCGCCACCCATTTACTAAAGAGGTCACATGTACGCGTTTGAAATTTCACTATGTACTTATCAGAGTAAAAAAGTAATTTGTGTACAATTAGTTGTGACGGGATCGCACGTACCAGGACTTCGATGGTGCCGAAAATGAGACAAGTGTCGAAGCGGTTGATGTAAGTGTCGGAGATGAAACCACCGACAACGCTTAGCAAGAAAGTCGACCCCATTAGGTTCGTCAGTGTGTTCACCGCTTCGGGCAAATGAAAATATAGCTTGTGCAAGAAGTAAAGCACCAAGCTCACCATGTTCGCTATCAAACCCATATTCTCCAACGCCACCAAAGCTATTATACACAGAAGTTAGTGATTGTGTATTAAGTTAAAATTAAGCGCTTAATTCTAAAAGTTGTGAGTGTTTGTAAATTAGCTGGAAAATCAACTAAAATAGAAAAAGCTGGTGTTTTTAAAATTATAGCTTAAAAACAAAAACTTATTTTGCAAACACTAAAAACAGATTATGTGTAGGAAAAAGCTCATAATCTATTTCCAAAAAAGCTTTTGCAAACACCACCTAAATATTTCATGAATCACTTTTCTTGTAAAATAGATGTTAATTATATAAATTCCAGCAAATAAAACTAAGGAAAAAAATGGGCAAAAATGTTGAAATGACAGATTTGTCCTCACCATAAATAAAAGATGTAGCTTTGAACCCTCCTTTCTGTTTGGTTTTGGACGTGTTGTACCCTGGCTCTGCATCTTCTTCCCCCTGCTTTGCATGATTGTACATCAAAAGTTAACAAAACTTCACCTCATATTATAATTAACCGATTGTTTATTAAATATAAGAAAAATATAAATACACACTCACCATGGCTTGAAATTGAGGGAATAATTAATTAATACTAGTGAAATTGTTAGAGAAAAAAGCGAATGTGAATATATAACAGAATTTTGTTAATAATCCATATATATACAAAGATATAGGCAATAAGTGTACGTTGTATGTAACGTCAGTTGTCATCCGATTGATCGCCTTCTTGTGTTCCACTCTCTCTCTCTCTCTATTTTTTGTCTTTTCTCTCTCTAAAAATAATTATTTATTTTCTTTGTTAAGATACCAATGGGGGGATGGCAGCTTGATTCTCTGGAGGAACCACTGTATACAGCCATTCGCATAGGGCTGGAGACAATAATATTTTAATATATAAATACTATTTTCATCAACTAATAAATATATTTTTTATTTTATTTTATGTCAATTGAAGTGTTTTTAATTCACTTTCCGACTCTTAAAATATTTTGGCATTTTGGATTATCGAACAAAATTAATAGCATTCAGTACCTTTTAAATGAAATAAATCACCACAGTATAATGGAACCTAGACTGAATTTTTCAAAGTCAATAAGGTCATTCCTTTTCCTCAACTTTTCAATCTAATTTTCAATGTGCAAAGTGCGAAAAATCAAAATAAAAACCCAATCAAATTGCTTATGCATTGTATGTTTTGACATAAAAGAACAATTTATGGTTTTTTATGGGAAAAAATGTTGAATGGTGAAGCAAATAATTTTTTTTTTATTTAATTTGTACCCAACATGAGTATTGCTCAACTGATTACGGGGATGGTAAGTCGGTGCAAACTGAAAGTAAATAGCATTCGAAAATATAGAAATGCAACCATTAACATTTAACTATATATTTTCTCATTAAATGACTTGAAATTATATTTTCTTACATAAAAACATTTTCATGAGACTGTTGTTTTTACTAATTACAAGAAAATGACTATCAATAAAATTATAAGGTAAAATATATTTTGTGAAAAAATTATGTTGCATAAGAAAATATAGTTATCAAGTGATCAGAGCAACTCCGATGGAGGAATCAAATGGAGTATTAAATGATAAAACTTCCATTTTGATTCCCAAAACTTAAAATTTCTTCTCCAACCGAAGAATCAAAGGGTTAGTTTTTTTGATACTTTATCTCATAGAGGTGCAAAAATGCACCCAATAAAACCAAGTATCAAATATTCCTAGAAATTAGGAACTACAATTTCAACATAGAAAAAAATAAATTTTCTAACAAATTCCTATGGAATAGGGACCAAATATATCTATTAAAAATAATTTATTTGATTCCAAGGGGTTGGAGCATATAAGTTTTTTCCAAGTACCAAAGTATTATTTCAAGTATCAATCAAGGGTTTAGATGCCTCATTTTAATATCTTCAAAATTAAGTTGAAGGGTGGAGGAAAATAAAACTTTGATTTGGTAGGCGCTCTGAAAACAATTCAATAAAATGATAAAATTGTTTGTGAACTTTTAAAACATCAATCGGAAGTGCAGGGTGAATAATTTATCGCGATTCGAAGTTGCAAAACGTTGTTATTTTTTTTTTTTTCTCGGATTCAAAGTGCCAAGACGCTACACTTGGGTTTAGTAGATGCTAGGATTTAAACCTAGTTGTTATGACACGAGCATTCCTTGTTATTACCGAACCTTTTGTCTTTAAATAAATTTTCCAACCATAGAACCACAATGTTTTTTCATATGCTACAAAAAAAGAATGGTACCTTCAAATATTATCAGCGGATAGTTTCGATGTAATCGAATTTATCCTCATAAAATAAAAATTTCCATCATCCTCTTGTAACAAGTTAATTCTGGTTTCTGAGACGGAAAAAAATAAGTATATTAATTATATTTTTCCGCACACATCACTACAGTATATGAGGGTTGTAGCCTTGCCTCTGTTTCGGGTATGAGCTCTGGGGTTCGAGCAACCATGTTGTGGCTTATCGGAAACAAAACAGAAAATAAATTAACTTACTACAATACTTTTTGACACGAGTTATTTGCATGTTTTTCTTTTCTTGGTTCCTTTTTTTTCTACTTCAACCCTTTTTCTTAACATAGAATGTCAACAACTCGGTACAAACGATTTTTAAAAAGTCGATTTGTCCCAATACAATGGCTGGATTGTAATTTTTGTTTTATTTATAGGCAGCTAAAATGATTCGATTCCCAGATAGCACAAACTTCTTCCTAACTGGTCGGAACTAACTTCTGTCCTTCCAAAGAGTGTTTATTGGCACATTAAACATCGCTACTTTGATCTCGTAAATGAACAGAAACGAGGACAGAAACCTTAGCAAACAAGCACAAACATATAATAAAAAAAATTCTAGACAAGAACACATCCTCAAAAACTGTATCTTACAAATAAGTGAACAATAGATAGGATGATTCTAGATCAGGAGATATTCACTAATATAACTCAGAATCGAAACAACTTTTAAGCCTCTTCAATTCAAGATCCTATTACACATTCACACCGTCACCACAAGAAAATGAAGGTACCACATTCTACTGCACTAAATTCAATTTATCTTTTAACACTATGCTTAACAAAAAGACCTAGCAATTGGCAAATCTGCTTACTTTATCAGACATCGTCATCAAATAAAAAGCAATCTTATTTAGAAGCACGTTATCCAGGCATTCTACATTTCTTCTAGGAAAACCAAGATTACGATTTCATACAAACTCAACATCTTCAACCGCAACGAACTATTTAACTTTCATTCTCCAATCTAGTACACATTTAAAAGTAGGTTCTCCTGCTATAGCAAAAGTTCTGAGACAGCATCCTTATACTATTAATTTTATTCATTGCTAATTCTCCAAATCGACTACTCTTTTTTCAGCCCTGTACCAATTTTTACACTGAAAAATCTATGTAGCAAATCTGTCAGATAAATGCTCATTGGGTTAATAAATGATGGCATATGGTTCACTCACCTATATTTTACAAAATTCCAACATTCATTCTCCTCATAAATTTTGGAAGTAACCTAATTTTACGACTGTGACAGATTCTTTTTAACTGTCTTGATTCACAGCCATCTTCCACTTATCTAAACCGATAATAAAATTCACAACCCCATACAATGCAGCATTCTATGAGCTCGAAACCTTTCAAGATTACCATGCAAATGTCTCCGTTTTATCTTACACATAATCTACAGAACATAATTGAAAATAATTGCAACCTTAACCTCAGTGTTTTTTCAGCTTTCATCAAAGTTTCATTATTCAACAGTCTTGAACTTAACCACCACAGATTGAGGACAATAATTTCGTAAAGTACCGAAAAAGAAAGCCCAAGTGAACAGAGTACATAAATCAGTAAAAAAAAAAAAAAAAAAAAACTGAATGGGACTGATGTTTTCTTACCTTGAAGAATTTCTAACTCGAACGAGAAAATTCTAAATCTCCTATATGCAACCCTAGGGTTAATTGGCTCTCATTCGTCGTCTATGTCGGAGTCGTCCTCTTCCTGCTGATTGGCGATCGCACGAGCCTGTTCATTTGCCATCACATAAGAGGCCCTCTCAATAGCTTGTTTGGCCTTCTTCTTCGCCGCTATGGCTTCTCCGGCTTTCTGTTCGGCATCGGCTCTGGCGGCCGCCGCTGCCTTGTGCATGATTACAGAGACAATTTTGGCGGCGCAGAAGATTTGTTTGGCCAAATCCCTAGTGAAAACCACCGGTCTGCCGTCGTCGGATTTGGAATCGACCACGGGGGAAGAGGAGGGGTGGGAGCACTGGGGGCAGAGGTAGCGGAGTGTGGTGGAGGAGGGGCGGACGGAGGAGGGGAGGCAAGCGGAGTGGACCACGGCGGTGCAGCGGTGGCACGTGATGCGCGAGTGGGCGGAGGGGCGGGTGTTGGCGGTGGTTGTTGCGTCGTCGTACGCTTCGAAGCAGAGGGGGCAGAATTTGCCAGGGTGGCGGCGGAGGACGCAGGCTGAGCAGAGGAAGGCGAGTGCGCCGCGGTGGTGGAGGTTGTGGAGGGCTACGGCGTCGGCGGATCGGCAAACATTGCATTGCTGGGTTTCCATTAGAGGGGAATTCGAGAGAATCATTTGGGGATTTAGGGCAGATGATTGGAGTTCGATTGATAATACTATGGGCGGGAGGGTGGTTGATCTGCCTTTATTTATTATTGCTAATAAGGACTAAATATTTTGGGGAATTGCCAAAACGTCCCTCTAGTTCACTATTATTCAAAGTTTGGCTGCAAAGTTGAAATTCAATATAATCTTCTAGATTCCGTGGAATGTTCTCGAGTTTATATTCGTTTGTGCAAAAATGTAGTTTATGATGTAACACAATCTGATAATAACAATCCAAGAGGCACATTTTACGATTATCTTGCTTCAAAATGTGGAGCTCGAATGGGGTAAATCGGGTACAAACCGAAGAATATTCCACATAATCTAGAAGATTCTAGTAAATTAGACACTGCAAAGGTGAACATATAAGAATATTCATAGGTGACGGGTGATTGTAATTACCCAAATATGAGAGGGGTTTTCATAATTTGACCTTACGTCAGGGAGTTGCCGTAGTTTACCCTTTATTTTTCTAATCAAGCTTGAGTTTGAAACAAGCTTCGTAGTAAATCGAACGGAAATATGTGTCTAAGTATGGTTCGTTCTATTAACAAGCACAGGTCATACGAGCTTTTGTTGAAATATCTCGAATATACAATCGAGTAATTTTATTTGATTTTTAGGATATAAAGACAATAACAAGATGTATGAAAAAATAACAAGAAGTACGCAACTCCAGCAGTTGTGCTATATGCTAAATTTTAGCAAATTTTACAACTTTTACTGAAAATTGGAGTTCTAGTAGCTCTTTTATATTATAGACCACATGGCATATTATAAATTTGGTTTGTCAAATTTGAAACACCAAGGGGATGAAACGACAAAATCAAGTGATGTTTTAAAATATAAACAACCACTGCTGGAATGAGTCAGTAAAAGTGGTGTACTAAAACACTGTTCATTATGTATAATTTGATAGGAAGTGATAAATTATAGCACAACGATAGTTACTCTCATTTCTATTTCACTAAATAAGACTTTTATTTTCTAACTTTTATAACATTAAATATTTTTCACACTAAAATCACCCAAATATAAATATAATAAATAAATAGGAAAAAAAAAAGAAGAAGAAGAAGGAAGAAGAAGAGCAGAGAAATCATTAATCACAATCCGAACAGTTAGTTAATGGTAGAAAGTCTAGTAATTGACAATTCACACGCTGCAAAAAATCCCCAAATTTGATTGGAAAATTGGTAAACCTAATTTCTTTTTTCCAGTTGTTGAGCCATCTTCTCTCCCTCATTTTTTCTCATATGGGTGACAGTATGGCAGAACGGAATCCACCTGCAAGTTGTTTGGGCTGACGGAGCTCTGGAAATCACGCGCGAAAATTGAACAGATCCCACTGATTGAGAAAGGAGACGAAAAAACAGTGATGAAGAGCAGCTCTTGGCAGCAGAAAGAGCTCATATTTCTCGTTCTATACGCCGCCGTTTTCTACACCATTGTCGTTCGTCGCTCTCTCCAGCTTTCCCACGGTACGCAAGCTTACAGCAAACTACTTGTGTTGTTTTTGTTGCTGATTTTTTATTTATTTATTTGTTTGTTTCTGCTAATTGTAATTGCAGATCATTATGCCAAGCTTTATGGTTTACGCCCCGGTTGGATCGCCGGTCGATTTAATGTATGTCACTGTAAAAAAATTCTATCACTTGTATGATGATTGTTGTGTTTATTACCTTCGGCGTAATACTATTTGGTTATTGCAGTTCATGATTTCAATGGAGATACGTCCCGTTTGTTTTTTTGGCATGAATTGGAGAAAACAGTACTCTGTTTGATGTGACAAATAGACACCAGTTTTCTTTTTTTTTTTTTTTTTTTTAAGTTGGTCGATTTCTATTTGATGGCACTGGGAAAAGGATAATCCATTAGAGTAGTTTAGAATAGTGAAACGAAATGGAGTTTTTAAGCGAACAACCAAACTAATGGAGAAAAAATATGTTTAATGAATGAAATTTGACTTATTGCCTCTATTAGTTTGCGTCTGATTTATCGACTTGATCATCTTAAAAAAAATGCATGGACTTGTCCAATGCGATCTGCTTTCATATCTCTCAATCTTCTTGTGTAGGATGCGTCTGATGCTCAATGGAGAAATCTCAGGGGGAACATACCAATTCTCACCATGGTTTTTGGGATTTTTACGTTGGTTGCCAATGTGCTGAGAACATCATTTTCCTTGAAAGCGAAGGGGATGGCTATCGTCTGGAGTTTGATTTCGTTGGCATATCTTTTGTATCTGCATGGAGCCTGGTAATTATGTAGAATGTTGCAAGATAGAATATTTTATGTTTCGACTGCTGTAATCAGTAACAATTTCTTTTTTTCCTTTCCCCTCCTTGCAGCATCATGTTCATCGTTGCTATTGCATCAGTAAATTTTTTCCTAGTGAAGGTCCGTTTTCTTTCAAGCTCCTGATGTCACTTCTCTGTAATTGCTACTGCATTGTTTTTGAGTATAGAGTTTTTCGCATGTGTGCTAAAAGAACTGGTAATGGGGCTAATAGCATGTGCCTTCCTCCTGTAAATTTTAAGTATGAATAACATGCTAACAAATACTTGATTTTGTGGTGGGGGACTATGAGGTCTTCATGATAACAAAGATTTCATACTCATGCATTTCTATTTGTTCACTTATGAATAGAGGTACTCTAATCTGATGTTTTTGCAAGGCTGACACTAGTTTTGGTTCCTAGAATACCAAAATCTTAAAAATGACTCTCAAGTATTTATATGTCTCTAGAGATTGTTGGCTGGGAGTTCATGTTTTTAATCTTCTTTGACTTCATGTTTCTATTGTGTTTAGAGTTTTCAGATGTGATCATATTTTGTACTTCAAGCTGTAGCTTCTGGCATAGCTTGTATCTTATACAAACCTTCTAATACTCTCATGTTCACCAGATATTTGTTTCTGCAGATATTGGGAAGGACGAAATATTTCTCATATGTGCTATGGATTTTTAATCTATCATGTCTTATATGTAATCGTATTTATGAGGGATACCAGTTCTCCAGTTTTGGGTAAGGTTTGTTTTTGCCCTGATTTCGCTGATCTTAGAATATTTGGTTTTGTCAGTTTTCATAATCGTGTGCTTGTTTATGATGGTGTAGGGAACGGTGGGCTTATTTGGACAACTATCGCGGCACCTTTCGATGGCATATCTGCTTTAACTTTGGTATCTTTTCAGGATTTCCACAGCGTTTTCCTGTTACTTCTGATCTATTTACATATTTGATTATTCACTTATATCTGGTGGATGTATAATTCCTGATTGGTTTCTTTATTAGTATCTCTATGTGCTGTCTTGTTGCTTTGGTGCTGAATGGTGACCGACCATAATACATGCTTGCCCAATTTTCTTTTGCGCTTGCTGTGTTGCTTGAGCTCTTTAATATGATTCTTTTGTTGAGATTTCTACATCATATAGGTCTTTATCTGTTCAGAAAACGAAAGAATAAATAAAACAGTTGGCACACAAAAGACCCATGACACACCAGCAGTAGGTTTTCTTTCCAAGCCGATGCAGTACCTGTTAAAAGCTTTTTTCTTCTTTAGGATGGATTTTCTGTTTTCTTGTTTTGAAATTTTAATAATAGGATCAAGTAACCTTAGATATCTTCTTAAGTTAGTGCTTTTCATTTGATTTTTTGTCACGAACAGCCAAAGTAGTAAAAATATTATGATTTAAGAGTTTGATAGCTGTTTATGGCCATAGCATTCGACAATCAACTTCAGAGTGCTACAATTTGTAAGACCTAACAACAATCAATTTCTTTTTTACATTGGCCTACGACCGAACCCAAAAGGGAATTAAACTCTTGACCTAATACTACCCTCCCCAATACCACTCGGGCAATGCCTTTGCTGTAGGACCTAAAGACTATCATTGAAACAAATACATATGTTGAATCACAACAGCAGTGGACGAGATTTATCTTTTTGTTCACATGTAACAAGAAATTGGTCTTTTTGTTGATTTAGGTGGCATGTGACACATATTGATTTACGACCAATATCTGACATAATGACCTCCACTGTTTCATTTGGATGCATATGTTGAACCATACTTCAAACAGTGGACAGATCTTTGTATTTCTATGCAATTAATTATCTTATCCTTTTATTAAAACCAAAAAAAGAAAAGGAAAAATAAAAACATATAAGTGGAGATGGATCGGATCATCTTGACAGGTATAAAAAAAGAAAGTTTAAAGAAAACAATCACTTTATCGATGAGAAATTGGGAAAATGTAAAAAGATCGAACTTTATTGTTTAATGGAATAGAGTTCTTCTTTTGTGGCTATGCTAACAAATGTGTACCTCTTCAGTATCTACTGCTCTGTATTAGCAGAAAATGAGTCTCGGTTTAGTTTCTGGATGCCCGTTCTAGTAAAATGATATGTCAGCATGTTTGTGTCCATCAAGTGTGTTGCCTCAATTGATTTATTTGATTAATGAAGCTAGTATAAAGCACAAGCATATTCTTTAGCAGGTCATGTGATCCCTTACTTTTGCAGAAACAATCAAACTTAATTTGGTTTGTTTATGTTTGGTATTGCAGTTGTTTTGCGTATGATAAGCTTTGGGTGCGACTACCATTGGGCTGACAAACATAATCATTTTGATCAAAAGGTATGGTTTCAGTTTCATTTTTTTTTTCTGGCAATACAAGCCTTCAGGGGATTTTTCCCTCGAGTATAATTGAATGTCTGTTAAATGCACCCTCCCCCTCTTCCGTGTGTTCGTAGCTCAGACATATAGGACTGTCACATTTTATATATGTTTCATCTTATACACTTTTTATGTAGATAATGCTTAACGTAAGATTTTGTAACAAAATAATTCTTCTGTGGTAGCTAAATGTTGAAAACTATAAATCAGTGAGTTGCTGAGGAACCCATGTCGAGAACTTAATTGAAATCCATATCGTTTATGAATGCATGATATTTGGTGAATAAATCACCATTCTGCTAATTAAAGACATCTTGATTTGGTACTTATTCACTAATAACATCTCAAATTAATTTAAAATGATTCCAAGTTGTAATTTGTTGCTAATGTTAGTCTTTGGTGGTGATGATTGTTTGTTTTGGATTCAACAATGTCAAGAAGGGATAAAATTTGCTTACCCACTTTTCTGAATCTTTATTTTTAATATTTCTTTTGTTTTTGATAGAAGCATATTCAGCGCTGTGACCAATGTTCATCAGGAAAGACATGCTACCAGCTCTTACAGGTAGCTTCTTGTCTCAGCTACAGCTCTGCTAGAACAGTGATCTGCTACATTTATGTGGCTTCACCATTTTTTATGCTAACTTTTGGATATCTTTGATGAACTCTATTGACACACTTCCCAGGAGAGAAGGGTCACAAATGACAAATTCTCTTTTCCAATATACTTGTGCTATTTGACGTATGCACCACTTTACATAGCTGGACCAATCATTAGCTTCAACGCATTTGCTTCACAGGTTGTTATGCTTTTTGTTATTATTTGTGCTTCTTTCTTTTGGCATTAACATGTGGATATTTTGACTCCATTGTATATTAAAAACTTTTATTATGTGTATCTTATTGATGATGCAAATGTTTTAGGTTTTGTTACATGACATAATTTGGGTTTGTTAAGTAGAAATTAACACTAATTGCAGTTTTTATTGGGTTTACAGTTATATGTAGATGTGTTTATTTGATTTTTACCTGTTTGATGTGCGGTTTCACGTAGAAAGATGCTATCATCATTGCTGATCCTTAACAAAGAGTAGTAAACTTGAATGATCTGTGCCATACCAAATGCCTTGTAATGTGATTTGTTACCAGTTACCACATAATTGTATTTGCGTTCTCTTTTATTGCTTTTATCGTGATGATTTCACAAATTATATCTTTCTATTAATATCGAAACCAATATAATGAAATGTGAAAATGACGTGTTTGTGGGCAGTTGGATTCTCCCCAGAACATTTACTCATCCCGGGAAGTGGCTTTATATGGTTTTCGTTGGGTTTTTAGTCTTTTCCTAATGGAATTAATGTCGCATTTCCTCTACTACAATGCCTTTGCCATTAGGTATGTTTCTTATATAGTGGATATAGATGACATTCAGTTATTCAACTTTACATTTTGTGAATTAAATGTTGCAGTGGCATGTGGAACCAGTTGTCTCCCATGGACATCTTCATCATTGGATATGGTGTAAGTTCTGATTCTAGTATCCTTTGCTTCTTCTATGAATCTGATGTTACAGTTCTATATTTGTGAATCTCCATTTTCTTTTAGCATAGTTTAGCTGATGTATCTTTAAATTAATATGGACAATAACTCTTTATTTTATTGTTTTTGATAGAAAAGTCCATTATATACATCTCGTTTCAGGATATCTGAGTGACATCTAACCTAGAAGTGGACTCGGGGGTCAAAATTATACCAGAAAAAAATAGGGTCCTTCAGTTCAAATTAGCGTGTGAAGAACACACAAAATACAACGTAATTCAATTGTTAAACAATGCTGGTGTTTTTTTTAATCTAAATTTATCTTCAATTTATGAATTACAAGAACCAATGATATTTGAAGTAGATAGCAGTGTGTCTCCGTCAGTTACTTCATTTAAGTTTGGATAACTTGTAAAATCAGAGTCTTGATATGAGATCATAACCCTCCAAAGAAAATTTTAGTTTAGTATTTTCTTGTACTTCTGGGTGTAATATCTGTAACTCGATGGTGTATTAATATAAACAGGTTCTGAACTTCATGTGGCTAAAGTTTTTACTTATCTGGCGCTACTTCCGATTCTGGTCACTGGTAGGTGCACAATCATCTGAATTTTGATACTATTGGTTTAAGATATTTATTTGAAGTACTAAAATATGACTGTAGGTTAATGGCATTGTAGCTCCTGAGAATATGCCAAGGTGCGTAAACAATTGCCACAACTTGGAAAGTTTTTGGAAAAATTGGCATGCTTCGTTCAACAAGTGGCTTGTTAGGTATAGATTTCTTCTCTTTATCAATCATATTTAATTTATTCTTGCAATTTGTTATTGTGTGAAGCAATAATGGTTACTCACTGCTTTATTAGGTACGTTTACATCCCTCTTGGGGGTTCTCAAAAGAAGCTGCTGAATGTTTGGGTCGTCTTCACCTTTGTTGCTGTATGGCATGACTTAGAGTGGTACTATTAGCTTCTAAGAGTTTCACAATAAAATTTGTTACCCGTCCTTTATTTCTATCACTACTCAGTTGATAATATGGCTGCTTGTATCCTCAATTTCAGGAAGCTCCTTTCTTGGGCTTGGTTGACGTGTATATTTTTTATACCAGAAATGCTCGTAAAATCAGCGGCAAATGCTGTTAAGGTATGTTCATATTTCCATTTCTTTTCCTTTTCACATCCCTGTCAATTGTGAAAAACAAAATAACATAATACATTATTTTACATGTGTAACTATTAACAAATTCTCGATGTTCGCAACATGCATAGCATACTTTCTTTCCCTCTAAGGCATGTACAGAGAGAAGGAAAAAAATGAAAACTGGTCGATTCATTAGTAGAGATTTCTCTATACACTCAAAATTCGTAAACAATCATTTTTCCTCCCATCTCTCCCCCAATTCTCACTTGTTTCTGTATCACATTTGTTTCAGGTGGAGGGTGCTTTCAGGGAATTTGTTTTCCGTGAACTTAGTGCTGTTGCTGGTGCAATAACTATAACTTGCTTGATGGTTCGTCTTCTACTAATTCATCATTAAGAATATCTGTGAACATTTCTCGGCATACCAAAACAATTCTTTTAGTCATTATGCTGACAGCTAATTGACAGCAATTGAATATACATAAGTTGAAAATAAAATAAAATAATATAAAGTTTGTCTAAGAAAAACATATTTCAGCATTGGATGGTATCAAATATTTCGAGTATAATTAGTTTGATTAGAGATCTGTACTTGATGTTTATTTGCATGTTAGTTCAAAAGCCTGAACTGAATTGCACAAGATCAATCCCAATATTTTTTCCAGCATGTGAATAACTGTGATGTTCGATTATGAAGAGGGTAATTTGAAACTATGCTGCTGCAGGTGGCTAATCTTGTCGGATTTGTAATTGGTCCATCAGGCATTAATTGGTTATTTTCTAGATTCCTACAGAAAGAAGGTTTGTTTTGTTTCACTCGTTATAATTAATTAATTAATTAATTAAGCTGCAGAACAATTATATTTTGTGTTTTGCAGGCCTGTCTACACTCGGTGGCTTGTTGATTACATTTTATGTTGGCACCAAGGTAAATAAATAATCGGTGATATTCTGATGAATAATTAGTTCGCTTCTTGGTGCAATTTGATTTGATCTATTAATCCAAATGTGCAGCTTATGTTTCACATCTCTGATGCTAAGCGAACGAAGGAGAGGACTAGTTGATATGAAGGTCTGTTCTTGTTTCGTTATCTTGACCCGTTACTGATAATTTGGTGAAATTTATTAAACTGGAAAAAGGAGAATGTTCAAATTCCTCTAGAATCGTTTTTTAAGCTACAAAACATGACTGCAAAAATTTCCTTCCAGTTTATTTTCGATAACCTGTTTGGAGAGTACATGTGTGAGTCGTCAATTTTGAGAAGTAGCATTTTGCTCTTACAATATAGCATCAGTCAGAAATTGGTGATCTTGCGGTTTTGATGGTTTACTTCGGATACAAATTCTAAGATCTCAGAACATATCAATTTGTAATTAGAGATGCTGGCTCTGTAGTACTTGTTGAGGATGGGTTGTCGTTGAATTTTATGGTCCGAAGAAATTATTCGTGTAGTTTTTCGGACTGCACAAACAAGAAATATCATGCCACAATATAAGGAATCTTGTAGTTGCACTGTTTTTTTGTTTTGTATTTTCCTTCATTGTTTTTGGTATGGGTCATTATTTTTTCAGTTTTTAGATGTTCTTTTGGCAGCTTCCTTGGATAACTTCCTGGTTAGATATGCCGTGTTACACGTAGGGGTGGTAAACGAGCTGAACCGACTCGAAAAAATCTCGAACTCGAACTCGAGCTGTTTTTTAGTTGTTCGTGAACTCAAGAGCCTTCCTTTTATTTATTTTTTTTATTATTTATATATTATTTTTTATTTAAAAATATGTAATAATATAAAATGTTATAATAACAATATAAAAATAACATATAAAATATATATACAGTTCATTATTTATTTTTATAAGTTTTTTGTTCTAATATAAATAATTTTTAATAATAAAAAATTAATTAAAAAAAAGTACTCGATGAGCTCGAGCCTGCCAAAACAGCTGAGCTCGGCTGGTTCAAACCCCTAGTTACAGTGGTGTAAATTGGGATAGAATATCCGATTTCCCTCAATTTTCAGTCCAAAATTTTCCGATTTTGGAACAAAATTTTATGCCTACTTTTGATTTTCCGGAATAAGATCCCAATCTTTTTAGCATTCATTAGTCTCAATTCTCAATTCTCAAGTCTATTATTGTCCCTCCCTGCAATTAATGAGTAAGGTTAAATTTGTAATATATAATTAATTATGCATTTATATCTTCTAAATGACAAAATAACGAGGAACAAATATTATTTAGCCAGGGACAAATAAAATGTATGGAGCGAATCCTTCCTCGGACAATGGTGGAATCTAAGCATTTTAATTTTATTTACCCACACTACATAGTAGTTTATTTATTTGTTTAGCCATCCAATCACAAAATAAAGATTGAAAGGAATGATTATAGTTTGCAAACAGTTTAAATTAGGGGTGACGATTTACTCAACTTGGACAGTATTAGGTTCGGATTTATGTGGATTGGATAAAAGGGAACCATATTTAAAATCAACCTATATGAATGGATTCAAAGTGGATCATATTTGGATCGATCTGGATCGGATCCACATGATCCATTGCTCTTTTGATTAGCTCATGTGGTTGAATATCTCAATTTATGAGGTTGAATATCTCAAACTTATATGTTTTAATATATTACTTAATATATTACTTATGCAGTTCAAAATTCATTATAGTTAACTTTCACACTTAATATATTCACACTCGCACACATGCACACACTCCAATACACTTTTGACACACACTTTTGACACAAAATTCAAATACACAAACCTTTGACACTCGCACACTTTTATAAATATATATTTTACCTACGCACACTCCAACACACTTTTTACACACACTCAACATCATTTTTACACACACATGTACACACAGTCCAGCATACATTTCATACACACATTTGACACAGGCATACACACTTTTGACACACACATATACACTTGTATAATAATTACATAACTGCCACTTAATAGTAATTACAAAACAACCACTCATGAATAATTACAAAACTAATACTCAATAAATAATTACAAAAATACCACTCAACAAAATACCACTCAACAAGTAGTTATATAATTTCATTCAACAGATAATTAGAGAATTATCACTAACCAAATAATTACAAAGCTACCACTTAACAGCAATTACAAAATGGTCGCTAATTACAAAACTGTCACACCCCAAGATACCACAACATTGCCGCTCAGAAAAAAAATTACAGAACTACCCTAAAACAATAAATACAAAACTACCATTCAGTGGTAATTATAGAACAACCACTCATCAGTAATTTTAGAACTTTCATTCATCAGTAATTATACAATTGCCGCTCATCAGCAATTTCAGAAATGTGAAATCGTAAAATTACATATTTGCTATTCATCAAGTAATTACAAAACTGTCATTTAATAGTAATTACAGAATTACCACTCACTAAGTAAATACAGAATTACCACTCAGCAGGTAATAACATAAATATCACTCACTAAGTAATTACAAAACTACCATTGACCAAGTAATTACATATCTATCACTCAACAATAATTACAGAACTATCACCCATCAAGTATTTACAAAGTTGCCACTCAACCAATAATTAAAACAATGCCACTCAGACAAAATTGACACTCAATAAATAATTGGGTAATTGCCACTCATAAGGTAATTACATAATATTACTCAACGGGTAATTACAGAATTGTCACTTACCAAGTAATTACAGAACCGCAACTCAACAATAATTAGAGAACTGCTATGCACTAAGTAATTACAGAACTGTCACTCTCAAATAATTATAGAACTGCCTCTCACCAAATAATTACATAACTACCATACATTAGCAATTACAGAACTATCAGTCAACAAATAATTAAAAAACTGTCATTCACCAGTAATTACATAGCTGTCACTTACTAAATAATTACAGAACAACCACTCACCAGTAACTACAGAACCGCCACTAATCAAGTTATTACATAATTGATATCCTACATGTAATTACAGAACTGCTAGTAAGTAGTAATTACATAACTGCCACTCATCAGTGATTGCAAAACTAGTAGGGTAACGATTTACTCAACTTGGACTGAATTTGGTACGGATCCATGTGGATCAATAAAAAAAAAAGATCCAAAACCAACCTATATGAATATTTCAAATTATATATGGTTAAATATCTCAATCAATAATGGTTGAATATCTCAACTTATGTGCTTCAAAATTTAGCTTCAAAATTTAATATACTGAACTTCCACACTTGCACATATTCACGCTCACCCACTCATACACGCATACTTTTTACACATACATTCACATTTTTCACACATTCACACATTTTTTGACACACACATAAACACAAACTCGCACACGCTTTTGACACACACATATACACAAACTCACACAGATCTTTAACACACACACACATTGTTGGGTACCCGTTGAACTCAATAGGATTACAAATCATAAAATCAAATGAATACATAATAATATATCCTATTGGAAAAGGGATTAGGGAGTACAAAGCAATTCTAAATATTCTATAATAATAAAATTACAGATTATAAGAATAAACTAGCTAACCCGACAGATCCGTAAACAGAACTGTGTTGAAGACGTAGACCGGTTCAGTCCTCTGTTTCCGATCGTGCACGTCTAAGACTCGTCTGGCTGCCTCCAAACACTCACCGGAATCAAGCCCAACGTTCCAAAATCCTCTGCCTCCAACCCTAAGTCACACAGACCAACACCCAAACGAAACTAGCTACTGCCCAGAGAAGCAAAAGCACACAACAATCAAATGTTCGCTTTTTAGTCACTCACACACATAACTCCCTCAACCCAGATCACGCAGCAAGAGAAAAGGAAAGAAACGGACAATTTAGAAAAACGGACTTATATGCTTCGGGAAAAATAGTTTCGTACCTTTTTGAAAACACGAAGAGAAGGTTTTAATAATCCCAGCCATAACCGAAGCTCAGAAGAAAACAAAGAGAGAATAGCCGAGAATTTCGGCGAAGAAATCTCACCAGAACCGAGAGAGAAGAGGAAGTAGCGGCTGGTGTGATTAGGGTTAGGACTGGAGAGAGAAGAGAGTAAGAACATATTTATATTTCAGACTAACGGTCAAGATCTCTCAAAAGGATTTAATGGACGAGATTAAATCCTAGAGCCCACAGACTTGGGCTTTAAACACGTGGGCTGATTCCTTGGTGAGTGGGTTGCATGGTGGGTGGATTTGGGCCCAAACTTATAAACTCATTTGGGCCTATATTTTAATATATATATATATATATATATATATATATATATATATATATATATATATATATATATCTGTGTGTGTGTGTGTGTGTGTGTGTGTGTGTATATATCACCAGAACCGAGAGAGAAGAAGAAGTAGCGGCTGGTGTGATTAGGGTTAGGACTGGAGAGAGAATAGAGCAATCGACGACTCTAAGGGCTGCACCTGTTGACTCTGGCCGCCGCCGTCGCTTCGTTCGATGCATGCCGGCGTCTGCCAGTAGGGATTAATTTCTTGCCAAACCGCTGCCTGAAATACGACGTCGTCTTGCATACTTCTCTCTGCTTACCCCTTCTTCCTCACTGTCGGCGGCCTACAATTTCTGTCTCCACCAACAGGAGCTTGTCGCATCTTTGCCACCCATGTTGTTTGACGTGCGCACGCCACATCTCTTCTTTCACTCCATCCATATCCGTAGGCGCAGGTTCCAAGTAATAATTTCATAATGGGTAGCAGCAACACACATGACACTAAGCTCATCAAGAATTAATCCCCACCACCAAAAGGTGAAGAAATTTAGATAATTGCACAGGCCCTATTCTCCTTCTCCTTCCATATCGGCCTTTTCTGCTCAGACAACATCTGATGGCTTCATATGCTACTAACGAAAATATTCATCATCGAAATAAATAAGCGCACACCTTGCTGGAGAGGAACGAGGAGGTTGGAGCAAAAGCAGATGAAGCCATCAGATGTTGTCTAGGCAGAAAAGGTCGATATGGAAGGAGAAGCAGAATGGGGCTTCTGCAATTATGTTAATTTCTTCACCTTTTGGTGGTGGGGATTAATTCTTGATGAGATTAATGTCATGTCTGCTGCTACTACCCAGTATGAAATTATTACTTGGAACCTGCGCCTATGAGTATGGATGGAGTGAAAGAAGAGACGTGGCGTGCGCACATCAAACAACATAGGTGGCAAAGATGCGACAAGCTGCTGCTGGTGCGGACATAAATTGTAGGCCGCTGACACTGAGGAAGAAAGGGTAAGCAGAGAGAAGCATGCAAGACGACGTCGTATTTCGGGCAGCCGTATGGCAAGAAAATAATCCGTGCTGGCAGACGCCGGCGGGCATCGAACGGGGCGACGACGGCGGCCAGAGTCAACAGTGTCTTCGATTGCGGCGTGTCGATTGAAGAATTTCGGCAAAAAAAGAAAAAGAAAAAAGGAAGCAAACACGACGCGGTCAAGCTGCTTCGGAAGAAAAGGGGAAAGAAAA